AAAAAAAAAAAAAAAAAGTTGTTTCATTTTTAAATCCCTTTCTTTATTCTCATAGATACTTTGGATTTATTTAATTTATATAGTAAACTTTGTGAGAAGAGGTTGTATATAATTGTTTTCTAGAGAATATGTAACATGTCAAAACATTCTTAATTACATTACAATTTTCATGAACTATAATGTGGTGCCAACTTTTCTATATTACTGAAACAGTTTGTCATAATAAATTATATTTGATGAAACCATCTGTGATTAAAATACATAGGCTAATTCTCTCCAAAATATAACCCCTAACATAACTCCTGTAACATAGTAAGCCTTCAGTAGGTGTTTGTTGAATAAATGAATAAAAGAATGAATGAATAGGTTGAAAACTCACTGAAGACTACAGACTGGAATGCAGCAAAGAAGGAAGAAACAAAAAGATCTCATTATTAAGAGGTTTGCTCGTATCGTGGTCCCATAATAAATTTCATAAAAGGAGTATCACAGCAAGACTCCAATACGCAAAGGAAAGTGGATTGATCTATATAGATTAATATGTGGGAGAAATGTGGTTTAGTCTGTCAGTAAAAAACTATATGATATCTGAGGAAACAGTCAAGTCACATAATAATATCCTACGTATGAAATGCAGTTTACAAAATGTGTTCATAAGCATTAAGAGCTACTATTTATTGAGAGTGTAATAAGTGCCAAATGTTTACACGAATTTTCTCTAATCCTCCTGGTATCTTACTAGGTGAGTGACATTCTAAAGTTACAGATGTGGAAACTGAGGCTCCAGAGGGATCAGGGGCATATCCGAGGCCTTGGGGCAGAGGGAAAGCATGGCTTTGAGCCCAGACGGTGCTGCTACAAGGTTCATGCCTCTGCCCCGTGTATCACCTCTGCAAGGGGGAAAGGTGAATGTTATTATCCCTCTACAGGACAGAAGAAGCAAGGGAGACTCAGAAAGTTTAAGTGAGGTACAAAGCTAAGAGTTTTTGAAGAATGATCCCCCCATACCCAGGTTGCCTTACTCCCCTTGACCTCTAAAAGAATCTCCCAACCAAAACAGCAGATAAAATCTGTGTATAATAAATGCAGTAGTGTCAGTGCAGATGTTTTAAAATCACTGAAATTAGTAAATTAAGCAGCACACTAGTTCATAGATATGTAACCTCTTTTACAAGTTGGAATCTTAATTTGAGTTCATTATTTTCCCAAGTGTTAGAAAATTATTTTCCTTGGCTAAGATTGGTAAAGTAGTTACCATCTATTCTTTTAAATTTTATTTGTAATTTGCTAGCACTTTCCCTGATTCTTTTTTTTTTTTTTTTTTTTGAGGCAGAGTCTGGCTCTGTTGCCCTGGCTAGAGTGCTGTGGGATAATACATTCCTTAGATAAGATAAAAGTACGCAATAGAAAATTGCCATTCTAGGAACATCTACTGCAGCCTTTTCTGTGTTCAGAGCATTAGTGTGCATGTAAGTCTTCAGTGTTGTTAATATACTGCATATGTATACCATATTTGGGAATAACTGTCATCAGATATATACAATGTGCTTTGTTTTGTTTTGTTTTAATTCCAGGTTACTTTATGGAATAGGCCCTTAGAGAATAAGCAAGGATTAAAGCTTTATGGGAAAACAAATCATGTGGTCTTCAGATTCAGAAATGAAAAGAAATGCAGCCATCTGAAATGGTCATGAACCCCAAACAAGTCTTCCTCTCTGTGCTGATATTTGGAGTAGCAGGGCTACTCCTCTTCATGTATTTGCAAGTTTGGATTGAAGAACAACATACAGGTAACATGCGGACTTTTTTTTTTTTATTTTAACTGTAACAACAATGGCCATTTTCAGTTAAATAAGCTATGATGTTTATAGATACATAAAAAGTCATAATATTTTCAACAACAGCAAAAAATGAGTCACATCCTAAAAGTCAGAGCTCCTGAAGGAAAGGAAGATTGTACAACTTTGGTGGGCATTTACTTAGTGGCTTAATATTTGAAATTTCTATTATCTCAGTGCAAGCAGCAGAGCCCCATTAGCCTAGCAAAGACTGCTTGTAGAGAATTTGTCTACAAAGTATAGCATTCATCCTACTTCTGGTCTGTCCATGAAGCAGAAAGCACAAGCCTAAAAGGAGGGGAATATACAGCAATTGCCCTCTTTTAATTCCTTCTTAAATTCTGTGTTGATACTCAAAATTAGTATAAAAATGTTTTGATACCTTTACTGTTAATATAAAGGAGTTGGCAAATCTTTTCTGTAAAGGACTAGATAGTAAATATTTTAGGCTTTGCAGACCATACCGTCTCTATCACAACTACTCAACTCTACCAATGTATCACAAAAGCAGCCATAAATTACATGTAAACAAATGGACCAGACTGTGTTCCAATAAAACTTTATTTACAAAATCAGGTAATGGGCTGGATTTGGTCCACAGGCAATAGTTTGCCAATCCCTAACTCTGCTCATCTTGTACTTTCATCATTTGATTTGCAATTTCTGCATATTGGAAGCACTCAATTACTGTTAAAAAGGATTATAATGATAATATTATTATCAAAGGAAATGTCTTAGAACATCACAGAGATTTTATACATACAGCTTTTGTCAAATTCCATTGTTTTCCATTGGTAGAAATAGACTATGGTTTATGACTGTTAAGGAAAATAAAGACAGAAGAATGATTTCTTAATTATCTCCAATTGTAGCTTATTTTAAGGTTATTCCGGATATAAAGCTCTTAAGAATCTACACTAAAAGATAATTCAAAACTCAGTCACAATTATGATAATTTTAAAAGTTGTTTCCTGGCCGGGCATGGTGGCTAACGCCTGTAATCCTAGCACTCTGGGAGGCCGAGGGGGGCGGATTGTTTGAGCTCAGGAGTTCGAAACCAGCCTGAGCAATAGCGAGACCCCGTCTC